GGGCGCGGTAGCGCCGCTGTCCCCAACGGTGGCGGGGACGGGCGTTGAGCGGGATGAGAGCTGCGTTGGTGACACGGCCGGCTCCTCGGCGGGGCTCAGGTGATGAAGGGAAAGGGGTTCTTCTAGGGAAGGAGAATGATTTTTGGGGATGCAGCTTTCCCGCAGGGGCAACTCTGTCCCTCTCGCAGCGGCTCTGACAGGACCGGTCCATCGAACCGCCACCCCCTCAGGTGTACCAGTGGAGCTGCCTGCTAGCCCTCTCCTGGACTTACTTTGACTCAGTTACTAGGTTAAAACGCTAAAAATGTCTCTAGGGTTCCTTTCTATATGGCCTTCTCCCTAAAATACATCCCCCAGGGCAGCAAACTACGCATCCCTGTTACTTCCCTTTTTCATTTGTGAACGCCACTGCCACTGAGCTTCCTACCCTCTCTGAGGAACCAATAAGCCCAGCTGCCATTCCCATAGTCTTAACCACCTGAATGTGCCTTAGCTCACGGCTCGCAACTTCCCCAGGTAGGTTCTCAATGCTCCCTTAGGTTGCTGAAGTCAAATTCACTTTTGGTAGAAACAGCCAACAGGACAGATGCATTGAAATGGATGCAATTTCAACTTTTTTCCAACTTATTTTCAACTACTACAGAATATATTTTCTTGACATACTGAGTACATAAAAAATGTAAAAGGCATTTACAACTAGGTACAGGTTTTCACTTTTTTTCAGGTGTCTGTCTTTGAGAGATTCCAGTTGTGTTACATCATTACAGGTGGTCACAGTTTCTGCTCTTTTGTCCTGGGCCCATAAGAACCTTTGCCCATCCTTCTCCACACTGCTTATACAATTGGTGTCAGGAGGTGGTACTCAGGTTGATCCTCTGCATTGCAAGTGTAACTGCTGCAGATGGAGCTTCTCTCTATGAAAATTAAATTAGTAACTGAAAGACACATACGGGAGAGGATAGGTTTATGAAAGTCTTTTCACACTTAGGACAGAACTCTGTTCAGTAAAGGCATTCTACAAAGCTTAGGAGGTATGTTTTCCATCTATTTGTACACACTGGGAAAAGGAAGAGATTTGGCTAAGAAGATTTATCTATGTTTGGTTTTGTGTTTCAGCAGTTTTTGAAAATATTGTTTGCCACACTTTCTATGGATTTATTATTTTTCACTTTTTATATTTTGAGATACCAGTAAAGTCACCATTATTGCTGGATTTATTACAAAGTAGATTGAACATCTAGCTACAATGTTCCTAAAGACAATACACGGAAAACATCAGTGAACTTAACTCTTTCTTGAAGTGCTGACACGGATGGAGTGAGACTGCACTTCACTCTGTAAGAGAGAAGCAACAATACACTTTATTGATACAAAACAGTGAGTTAACAAAGTTCAATGGTAAATGTGACAGTGGTTTAACAAGATTCGATGGCAAGGTACGCTTAGATTATTTACTGCATAGAGGACAGGGTCAGACAAAACTGTCAGGGAGACCCTCTTGTTGAGTCATGAGGTTCAGAAAGGACCCCCTTGCTTTCTAAACTCCTTCTCAGAGAGGAGTCTAGGTGCAGCTGGATCCAATCCTAGTCCCAGACTTGGTCAACAGTTTATGTCTAAAGGATTATATATGCACAATTAATCCTTTATGTCACTTAGCTAAGATTTCAAAGTTTAGCAGTAACCTTGAGAGGCGTCCCTACTCAAGGGGAGATTCCGCTGTGCAGCCTGCTGCCGTGCAGGAGAGCTCAACGGGTCCTGGGCTGTCCACTATTTATAGAGTAACATGATTGACTTACAGTCGTACTTGTGTACCAGCAAGACGTTTGGGGCACTGGTTCAGACAGCTGTTGGCTACTGTGTTGCCATCCGTCCCCAAAGTCCAGCATAAGCTGGATGCAGCCATCATGACCCCCGCTGATGGTCACTGCTTACGTGGGGAGGGGGTCAGCATCACTTCTGTGATGCCTGGAAACCTCCACAAGCAAAAGGAAGTGATAAACCATAGAGCTGGATTATCTCTTCTGGTGGTAAAATCAACAGAAGGAACTGAACGAGGGGGGGAGTTTTGTTACAGTAGAGGCATGAATACACCTACTAAGATTAGACATGCAGGTCTTGCCTAGGAACCAGGACCTAGAAGCCACAAAACAGTAGGGAACAACTTTCTAGACTGGTTTTGATGTGTCGTTTCTAGTCCTGTTTACAGGCAAAGTTACACATGTGAAGTTCAAACTCACCTGTGTAACTTTGCTCCAAAGTGGATTGGTCTCAGCTGTGAGGCTGTATTTTTTCCAAATGGTACCACATTGCATGGGCATGTCTAGTCTTTGCAGAACAAGTCAAATTACTTAGTTTAAACCTCAGCTGAAGGTTATTTGGACTAACCTTTTTCACTTTGTTCAGAAGCAGACCACAAAAGCTCAGGGATCTCCCCGTTGTACACCCCTTCTACCTCCTCCCAGCTGTTAACTATTGCCTACTGTCCACAGTACAGTGCTCAACTATGTGTAGAGGACTCATGCAGACTAACATGTAAAATATATATATGAATTTAATATATTAACTGTGTCTATGACTGAATTTAAGTTGGAGAATTCACTGTCAGGGTAGACATTTTATTGGATTCAAGTTGTTTTGCTGGGTGGTAGGATATGTCATGTGCAAGAAAGGAATTTTGTACAACCCCTACAGTAAAGTAAAACTAAAAAGGAATTCTCACACCTTTGACCAGGAAAATTCTCTCTCCTCCTCAAAGGGAATCCCCACTACAGAGAGTTTTTGAAGTCTGTACAGCCACAGTGTTTTATAGAGCATATAAACATGAAATTGACTTCTGGCCTGTAAAACTAAACTACTTCTATATTAAGAGGCTATTTACAGAGAGATTGCGATTAGACCTGCATGTGTAAGTGCCAAGGAAATTCCTGGTGACACCTCAAACATGTTCTTACAACTTGTCCTCTTCCTTTTTGGTTCTCTTCAGATGTTGTTTGTATTTTTAATAAGCTCTGTAAGCCCCCATTGGGAATGGTTCACAGTGCTCCTATTTGTATGTATGCTTTGCCTTTTCCTTGCCACCTTATTTCCCCTAGAGAGTTATCTGTAGTCAAACAGAGATGTTTTAAAAGACTTTCAAAGATGAGGAACAGAACCCCAAAACAACCCATATGCAGCTGAACTACATTTGCTGTTACACATGAAAAAATTAGCGTGCTTAATATGCAGTTCTGTATGGAAATGAGCTATGCAATCCCCTTATCTTCTTCCCACTCTATCTTTACAAATAGGGTTGATAAATTAGCAGTTCACTTAACAGCAAGCAATGTTACATGTATAAATGATACTTTGCTTATTAACCTAAATCTCCTGACCATAAAAATGTGATTATCATTCATTCTTGGGATACTCTTATTCTATAAATATACATTTCATATTTGAAAAGAAAAGAGCTTCCAGTTTTCATGTCCATCTAATTAATCAGTTCTTGCTCCTGTCTTTGCTTTGGTTTTTTCCTTCTGCTTTATTTTGGTAGGCATAATGAATTCTTGGTTTAAATCTGTGGTTTAAATCCTGCACCTAGAAGATCTATGTGGTTTGTATTTGGTTTTGTTTTGGTACATTGGTTTTGGGTTTTCTTCTGTAACAAGCAACCGCTCTAAGAAAATTCTAAAAGGAAACCAAGAAAACTTTACCATCAGACAAAATGTCTCTTCTTCTTCTGTTACCTGAACTCCTTAGCTTCCTGATTGGAATCAGTGGAATTCAAGTTATTTAGCATGTTTAATGGATGATAGGCAAAATTCAGTTCAGGATCTGAGGCTACAGTGGATAGTTTTAGAAGAACTTATGTATCTGACCTTTGCATTTAGCTCATTGATTTCACCTTGAAAATGATAATATGTAATGTTGCTAAAGAAGAAAAAAAAACACCATAAACTTAGAGTCTGTTGGCTTAAGATTTATTATGTGAAAAACATTCTTTGAATAATTCAATAACAAAATGTTTACTTGTAGCACCAAAGATATCAAATTTGAGTATTTAAACAATGAAATGGTTATTTGTAATGATTTGTTTTCAATCAAGAATGTTAAAATGCTTTTTAAATATTCATACAATAAAACCCCTCAGCATCCCTGTGAGATGCTATGCCCTACTTCATAGATACATAAAATGGGAAACCAAAAGTTTAAGCAACTTGTCCGAGTAGCAGAGAAGTCTGACGGGAGCCAATAACCTTCTCTTTAACCATATTCTTTTCATCCACTCATCAGTTTCTCCATGAATCCCATGTAGAATATAATACTGCTTTTAAAATGGCAGATGTGACTATAGACAACTATACAGAAACAAAACATAGAAAGAAATACATCGGCATAGGTGGCATAAGAAAGATGCTTTAGCCCTCAGTCAGGCATAATCTCCCTATGCTGCATGTTGTTGTCACATTAACACTTGTTGATTAGTGGGAATGTGAGTCTGAGGCTCATTGAATATTGAATTATCTTAGTACATTTTAATGTATCATAGTTAGAAAAATGTCTGAATCCAGTATCTGTGATAGCCATTGTAAATGTGTATTCAAAAAACCTCAGATTATTAACCTGTTTCAACAGACTAGATAAAAATGCCATACAGCGGTTCAGTTACTTGTTAAACAACTTTGTACGCTTCCCAAAGGATTCCTTTGTCCTTAAATTTATCTTTAAGAGTATTATTTCTGAACATCCATTTAAGAGTTCTGAAAGTAGTAAAAAACGTATGAATAAAAGCCTCATAAAACCAATGTTGAACCTGAAACACAAAAATGTAGAGATGGAAAGATCCTTACAGCATGTTCTATTTCAATTTGCTGTATCAGTTGCTTTCTTCCAGTGTCACAATTGACTTCACTGGCTTCAGGGGCATTTTCATCCAAGGAATGATTTTTTGTAAAAAAAGGGAGTGTACAAATGACATCTTTTGACAATGTCACCAAGCTGCAAGAAAAGGTGAGGTGACACCTTGCATCAGAGCAGTTAATACAGCTGTTAGAAAAAGGACAAACTTCTAAGCACACAAACCTCTCTCACATCCAAAAAAGAACCAATATATTTAGTACCATTTGGAAACAATTTTGCTCTAAGCAAAATTAATTAATTAATTACGTTAATCAAATTTGAGATCAGAGTGGCATATTAGCAAGAGGAAAGGTAGCAAGTTTACTAGCCTTG